AATCTAGATTAACTCAAATATTGTTTTCATTATCTTGACAATTAATATTTTGCTCATTAAGTACTTGATTATGTGGTGGCAGGGAGGCTGAGTGGTGGAAGAACTTTGGGATTAATCCTAAAACCAGTACGGCTAGTCACGAGATAGGCATAACAAATTCCTACCTATTGCAACTTGGTGAGTTACTTTTACTTCCACTCACACTCAATTTTTGCTTAGGAGTGTTTTATTATTATTTTTTTGGGGTCTATCGAATTGGAATTGTATCATAAACAAAAGCACCTGAAGTACAATAGAACAATATAAATCACAATTTTCTAGAGCCAATGGCTAAAGAGAACTCTAATAACCTACTATCTTGACTTGACAATTGAACAGTTGAGCAACACCACTATCTTGGACTTTAAAATTTTTTTTGAGAGTTGGAGTCTTTCGAACTTACTTGGAGTAGTTCAATGCTCAGTAACCTGCACGCATAGTCCTTCTACAGTAAGATTCTTCATCTCTTTTGTTCCCGTTATGTTTACGGTATAGCTTCTGCATCCTTGGCCGTTTATCTATATCAAGTACGTTGCAATCACAAAGACACACTATAATCAAGGGAAAATTATCATGATTCTCAAAAATCAACTTTGATAAGTTTCATCTCATAAAAGTTGATGATGCATAAGTTTTTATTAAGATTTATTAGACGCCCCAGAGCACAAAAAAACCAAGAAAATTAATTGATAGCCATATGGCACTGTGCCTCTAGCCAGCAATAGGGAGGTAAGTAGGTAACTTAGAAGTAGGCAAGAACAAAATTGTGGATTCTCTTTTGGAAGCGTGAGGTCTACATAATAAAGATGGAAAAAGAAGTGGCGACAAAGGAGAAAAAGGAAGAAAGGTGCAATTGAGAAAGGCATGAAATTTAGATCTTCAAGAGTGATTTTGTTAAGTTCATGCGTAGGGAATTGTATTCCACGTTGATTTGAGAAATGGAGGAAGAGTGCTCAATATATAAATAAGGATTCGAAACCTTATAGTTTAAACTTTTGAATTAATATTGGATTTCTAACTTACATATTGGCCTACTTGGTGGGTTTTCTTGGATTTTTTCTTCCTTCTTAATAGGAGCTTCTGGTTACAAGTAGTCCAAGTGGTATCAAAGCTTCTAATTCATTGGCAAGTGAATCCTTCTCGAAGGTGGTATCAAAGCGGAGTTGAGCTACTCATTGGCAAGTGAATCCTTCCATCAAAGTGATATCAAGACTTCTGGTTACAAGTGGAGATACTAATTGGCAAGTGAATTCTTCTATCAAAGTGATATCAAGGCTTCTAGTTACAAGTGGAGCTACTAATTGGCAAGGCTTTTGGTTAGCTTCTGGTTACGAGTTGGGCTACTCATTGACAAGTAAATTTTTCTATCAAAGTGATATCAAGGCTTCTAGTTACAACTACTAATTAGCATGGCAATGCTTCTGGTTACAAGTTGGGATACTCATTGGCAAGTGATATCTTATCGAACGTGGCATCAAAGTGAGCGAGTTGAGTTACTCATTGGCAAATGAATTCTTCTCGGACGTGGTAACAAAGTTTCTGGCTATGAGTTGGGTTACTCATTAGTAAGTGGATTCTTATTAGAATTGGGTTGGTGAGATTCTTTTCTTGGTTGTAGACCAAAAGTACCATGAAATTTGGCTGGTGTTGGACCAAGTGCACCAAGAGTTTGGTAAGGTGTTTGAGGCTTTTGATTATGAGTTGGGTTACTCATTGGCAAGTGAATTTTTCTCGGATTCGGGTTGGTGAAATTTTCTTATTGATGATGGACCAAAAGTGTCGTAAAGATTGACTGGTGTTAGATTAGGTGTACCGAAAGTTTGACAAGGGATTTGATTGATATTAAATGAAGGAGTCAATGGTGTTTAGATCTTGAAAAAGAATGGGTCTATGAGACAAAGAAAGAACCCTTAATATGTAAATAAAGGTCGATGAGCTAGCAGTTTAAACTTTTGGATCTACATTGAATTCGTGATTTATATATTGGCCGTTTTATGTGAGTTCGCTTAGATGGCCTCTTTAGCGGGCTTTCTCAGAATTTTTTTCTCCCTAACAGACTTTTAGAAAAAAGAAATGTTAATTTTGGGGTTCCATTTATTGAGTATTGTGCTACCATTTTTTTAATAGTTCAAGTGGAGAAATTGCACCAATCAATTCCTCCATTCTTGAAATGACCTGTCACACTCTCACTATCGTTCTTTGCGACATTTTCCACGGAATTCCTTTATACCCTCGTGCACTCTTCTTTTAAAGGCTTCCATAAGTAGAAACCTTGTCTGCTCTGGGAAAGTTCTAAAGACACCATAGAGGAGGTTTTGTCTGTCCTTTGCCTTAAATGCTAAAGTTTTGATGATTTAGCAGCTTGAGAATGTCCCAACAGTAACTGGATTGAAAGCTCCTGTGGACTGTGGTGGACACACACGCACACTTAGGTACTTTTGGCCCACAAATTTTAGATATGGGGCAGAGGAAAATTGAGTGTAGGAAAGACACCACGACGAGACTACCTTTTGCTTTTATTTCACAACCAAGTGAAAGGTATGGGGCAAATGATGATGCAGAATATCATTAATATATATGACAGAACGATACCAGGTTGCTTTACAGTATTAGCTCGTTGGACGCTCCTCGAAGAAAATCTGAGTCCTCGGTAATGGAAAAATGCATTGAAAGCAATACTGGCATTTACGAGTCATTTGGACTGATACTTTTATAAGTAAGTTTTTATAGAAAAATATATTGTAACGATTTGATATATATAAGATAAAAAGATAATTAAAAAATATGTTCATGAAAAATATAAAATTTTTCTATAGAAAACTGCAATCCAAACAAGGCCTGCATCGAAAGCTATTTTGAAGAAAAATTTTGCCACTTTATTGTAAGAGAAGAATGCGCCAGAGAAGAAGGTGTGCGAGTGGAAGAAGACCCGATGGCATGCACCACTTCTGAACATCAACAAGCATTTTTGGAGTTCAACAGTTTCTCTCTTTGCTTCCCCTTTCTTGTGTAGGGGTAGAGTAGAGGAAGAATTTTAACTCGTGTGTACAATACTCAACAAACATCTACACTGTCTCCATTTTGTAATCGACAAAAGTTCGTGAATAGGATTAGCTAGAATGATGAATCTAAGCAGGAATTACAGTTTTATTTCCTTATTTTTTGGTATATTAACTAATGTAGTCCCTCATCTATCATAATTAGCTAATTTAGTCCATTATCTTGACAAAATTTAACCGACTTAGAACTCTTGATGGAAAATTGGATAAATGCTATGGATTTGGTGATGTGCACTCATGTGTATCATCAATACACAAAGAAAAATCGCCAAAATGGTCCTTTACATTCAAGAAAAATATCTTTTTGGTTTCTTACATTTAAAACAGTGCAAAAATGCCATTTTGGTCTCCAAACCAACTTTTTTGACCAAAAAAAGGGTACAAACTATTCATGTGCCCATAATTTTTGAGGAAAAATGAAAAAAACAACATTTTTCATCAAAGTAGTCACATGCTCAGCATATGAGGTTTTTGCCCATTAGAACACTAATTTAGTCTTAAGGAAATTAAATTCTGGAATCAATCAAAGTTTAACCATTAAACTTTTGATTAGCAGCAAAATTAAATTGATTCCAACTTGTTTAAGTTAATAATTATGTGGGTTTGAGTTGTGGACCAAATGCAATAATTTGGCTGCTGATTTTAGTAATTTAGGTGATAAATTAATAATTCAATCTAAGTTATAGCCAGAAAATTGGCTAGAAATGAGTTCTTGGATCAAAATAGCATGTTTTGTATAAACAAGGGATCATTTTGCTCCCTTTTTTAATATGAAGGATTGGAAAAGAAGTTTTTCAAAATGTAAGGAACCATTACGTTGATTAACCTCCCTTTCTATTCTAGGTACATGCACAGTGCACATATTTGATCCGTAATTCGATTTTGCTAATTTATTGTTAAGAATACTACTACACTAGCTACACGTTGTCGAGATAAAGGACTTAATTGGTCAATTATGATGTATAAGAGACTATGTGTGCCACTTTCTTTTTCACCTTCCCTTTCATACCATAAAAACTATGAAGGGTAACATGACTCATCGCTTAAGACGTACAACTGCGTGAAAAACAAAATGAAATGGACAAAAGAGAGATACCTAAAATCGTACACAACCATAAAATCAAGATAGATGAGGGACCTCAAGAATATCTACAAAAATTTGAATCATGCTGTGGAGATATATGATATCTACCAGAATTTTCAGATTACTTTTTGTACATGTCCCCCAAAAGTTGATTATGGTAGCAACCGTTAATAGGTGTTATGTGAAATTATACATTTTTGGTACAAGAAATGTAAACTGCAATGTTACACACAGAATCAGGTAATCTTCCCAATTCTCTTAAAACCTTTTAGTATCAAAAGAAGTAGATATACATTCTTGTACGAGGGCATGCACTATATCCTACAGTTGGAATCGGAATCTGAGGAAGTCACATACGGGCAAAGCAATCTAACAGCTGAGTTGTGACACTTTTTCTCTGCTCCAACGTTCACCTCACTGGAGATTCGAGGGGGTTAATCAATGGGGTACGTTTACAGGATAAAGCGTGGGAGATGTAACTGAACTTGTCAAATCAAGTTTCTCCTGTTGTTTTGATATAATTAAACGTGCTTTATACATTCTACAGCTACAAAAGCCCATATTAGACTTAAACCAATGAAAGGGAGAAGAACCTTTCCCTTTTGTTTCCACTTTTGAACATTTTTTAATAGAATTCAAGTTTTAACCTGCTTCCTCAAGGTGCCTGAGCCGTGCAATTCGTGTGCAACTAGCCCCTATAAATATGGGTTTTCCCTGTCTTTTGCTCAGTAGCAGATTTCCACAAGGAAAAAAACCATAGTCTTGTCCAATCTCTCAAGTACGTTCACGAGTAGTAGCTGATTCCTCTCATTCTTTTTTCAAGAATGGCAAAAGTAGCAGACCCCCTTGTAATTGGTAGGATTGTTGGGGATGTTGTTGACAACATCTCCCCGACTGTAAAGATGTCAGTAACCTACAACTCCAACAAGCAAGTCTATAATGGGCATGAGCTTTATCCTTCCTCAGTTGTCAATAAACCAAAAGTTGAAGTTCTTGGAGGTGATATGAGATCTTTCTTCACACTGGTAAAAATTAACATACTTCCCTATCCTTCAACTCTTTCTCCATTTACTAAACTTTTCTTGTGTATTTCAGTTCTCCATCAGTCGCCATTACATTCAATGAATTTCTTTTGATCTTGCAGGTTATGACTGATCCTGATGCTCCTGGTCCCAGTGATCCATACCTTAGAGAGCACTTGCACTGGTATGAAACAGTGAATAAATAACATGTTATACTAGCTGCTGATGAAGCATCTGAAATAAAGCTGTCAAATTTAACTTATACACAATATAACAGTCTCCAATAGTAAAATTTCATCTTTCATTGGTAGACCCCCCGGAAACACGGAGCTGTTGCCTTTTTTTGTTCCTACTGCATGAGCTCAAGCTGCATTTCTTTTAGTTATGTACTTATCCATTAATTTATGCTTATAGTTTCTAATTTATTGATTGGCTTGTTTTAAATGTCCCACTGAATCAGCTAGCATCATATTCTAGAAATCATTCTATCACTTCTTCATGGGAATGGTCAATCCCCCACAAAGAGATTATCTTTAACAAAAGTACTCTTCGGATCCGGTTTAACTTTGCTTGCAAAAAGTTCAAATTTTCAACACTAAAGCATTCTCAACTTAGGGGACGGTTGGTAATGTAAAAATTTTGTCATGGGCCAATTCCTTTCTTTTATGTGCTTGTTGTTCTGTGCACTTTTCAGGTAAAGAATAGAAAAACCCTAAAAATAAAAAATAAAGTAAAATTGGGAGGAGATGAAAGAAACGAGAAGATAATATGGACACTCTTAGAACTTACCTTGAGCTTGATGGTAATTCTTAGTCCTTTGAAATTCGGACATCATGCACTGTGCATGAAATTATAGATGCATGTTAATTAGTAATTGAACAAACTAAGCCAGGCTTGGTTTTAAATCTTAGTCTCTCAATCAGCAAATTTTTTGGCATAAATGTCTAAAATAGCTAACTCAAGGGAATGAAAATCTTTGGCAAAGAAAACATTATTGATAATATTTGGCATACTATGTGATTACACACAAATATTTGGCAAACTATATGATGACACACAACTCTGAACTTGATTTAACCACGTCGCAGGATTGTCACAGACATCCCAGGGACGACAGATTCCTCATTTGGTATGTGTTCTTTCTTTTTATTCAGGGAGAAATAAAGCACAGATAAATAAATTGGTTTTCTTCTTTTTTTTTTTTCCCTTTGTTTGTTAATTTTTTATATTCATCAACAGGGAGAGAAATGGTGAGTTATGAAGTGCCAAGGCCAAATATAGGGATCCACAGGTTCGTATTCCTTTTATTCAAGCAGAAAGGAAGACAGACGGTGAATCCACCACTCTCAAGAGATGGATTCAGCACGAGAAATTTTGCACAAGAAAATCAACTTGGCCTTCCTGTTGCTGCTGTTTTCTTCAATTGCCAGAGGGAAACAGCTGCAAGAAGGCGTTGACAGATATGGCATGCCATAAAGATATCAGCCAAAATGCTATGAAGCAAATAAGATATTAACTGTTGCAAGTTCGATTACAAGAGTGGAACTAGGTCCAGTTTTATGTACTACTTATCTACTTTAGACTTCATGTGAAGTAATTTGCTGCGATATTAATAAAGCGCTGAGCTGCTGCTTAATCATCTTCACTACCATTTCCCCACCTTTGGTCTTCGCCCTTGTCTCTTAAAAATTGTAGGATCAACATTGGTGACAACAATGAAAGTCGAACCAAAATCGGATAAAAGCATTATTAAGGATATATTAGGTCAATTACTTGTTCAAATGAGTGTGTTTTTTCACTTTTGTACTGAGGTTTTTTTTTTTTTTTTTTGCAATGACTTGGTAATTGTACAATCATGAAAGCGTCAGGTATATAAGTGCATCGATGCATCAAAATGTGTGTTTTATTGATAAACTGCTCTGCCTAAATTATTAAGTACCAGAAAAATATACATTCTTGTTACGAGGGTAATGCACTATATTCTACCATGTGAATAGGGAACTGAGGAATTCACGGACTTTCTTATGTACTATATATATATATTCTATCATTCGAATGGGGGATTGAGGAAGTCACACATTTTGTTAGGGTAAAAAATTTGAGAGAGTCCATCTAAGAGACTCAATATAAAACTTGGAATTCAACAATGACATAAAAACTTAAACTAGTAGGTTAAAAAAAAGTTAAACTCATACGTTTTACACTCATATTTATATGGGGACTAATTCCACTTTGTGCATCAAACTTTTATCCCATTCTCACTTTACACTGTAACTCCTCAAATTTGTTTCACTTAGGTCCAGTTGCTAATAGTATTAACAAAAATTAACCATGCATGAGACTTTATATATACAACATATATGTTTTCCATTTTACTGGGTAATGGTGTTCATAGTGGAACATGGAAACAGCATCTATGCAAATTTTAAGTTTTACTTCACATGAAAATTCATGAAACCTAAATCTTAAGAAAAAAAATGGTTCTGATATTCAATTTATAAATAATAAACTCATTTTAACTATACTAGCAATTTGTTGCTCTTAGGAAAAATAAAAAATAAAAAAGTGAAAAGAGTGATTAGATATATCTGTGTTGTATATACGGTTTAAATTGTTGAAATTATGTCAAATCCTCTAGGAAATGGTCAAATATCATCTTTTCAATTGTTTAAATTTGATGATTTCACTAAAATTTTCACCATTCATTTTAGTTGAAGAAGGCATATCTAGACTCTCATTGGGAGATCATGGTGAGGGGGTAAACATGCTGCGTAACAACTGACTTGGAATGATAGAAATAGAATAAATGAATTCATTTACTATAATAACCTTCTAGAAATCAATTTTATAAATTTAACCTTCATTTTACTAATATTTATAAATTCTATTTCTTGCTCCAATACTTGACGTCCACTTATATTTTCTTGGTTAACAACATTGTTTTGTGGATATATATAAAATCTTAATGATAGTGTAATGACATTATGAGTATTTAATAAATTTGGTTGAATATCATAATACCAATATTTGATTTGTCAAACTTTGAACTATAAGTTATATATAAATCTAGATAAAATTTTATAAAATATTATATGTATGATTTCAATGTAAAAAAAAATTAGTAAAAGAAAATAAGAAAAATACTATATCATGATTGTGACAATTATCATTTCACAAAAAAAAAAAATCTAGTAATAGCATATATAATGTTTTAGGGTGATCTAATCACATGCTTTGCACGTGAGTTACTACAAGTATATTAAGCATTTGGTCTTCCTTTTTCAAAACTTGTTGCACTTTTATCTGCTTCAGCGTTCATGTTCATCTCACAAGAGATTCGAGGGGTTACTTCACATGGTGGATCGAGGATAAACAAAATTATCAAAAATCAAGTTTTACAGGCTTCCACTATATATAATCAAATGTGCTTTAACCTACAGAAGGAGAGAGAGAGAAGAACCTTTCGGTTTGGCTTCCACTATAAATATAGGTTTTGCCTGTCTTCAGCTCAGCAATATATTTCCACAAGGAAAAACCCATAGCGTTTATCCAATATTTTAAAATACTTTCTCAAGAAGTAGCTGATTCCACTCATTCTTTTTCAAGAATGGCAAAAATAGTTGATCCCCTGTGATTGGTAGAGTTGTAGTAGTACTTTTTATGTACTAATATTTATCTACTGTAGACTTGGTGTGAAGTAATTTGCTACAATATTAATAAATCGGTCAAAAGTTGCTATAATTTTAATACACTGTTGTAAGGGATATTAGTTTTTCATTTGTTCTTTTATGATTCAAGGTATTTTCTTGTTGAAGCACTTCAATAATTTTTCCTAAACACTTAGGATTGCAAGGATAATTTGCGTTTTGATTTTTTTTTTTTTTTTTTTTAAAGAAGATTGTCTTCCTATCATTCTTTACTTCAGCTTTCAAAAGGTTTTCCAACAAGGTGCTTCAATAGTCACCAAACTTTTTTAAAGCTTCATTTAAACCACTATACTATTTTCTCCTCTACGACATAACAAAAATACCTACAAATGTAGTATGTACCTCACAAGCCATATATTTTGACTATTTCAAATGAGAAAACAGATAGGATGGTCCAACTAATCATTTTAGAATTTAGTAAGCCAGTTGACATGAATAATTAAATGAAATTCTGAAGAAATTTGGTGCAACCCTAAATTGTTAAGGATCACAAAATTGTATACATTCAATTGTGAGAGTGTACGAAAGAGGCTCAATGTATATCTATTGAAATATCAAGTGATTGGGTATTGAGATATCAGATCTCCATAAAACTCAATCTAATTTTAAAAGTTCGGCAAAACAGTTTGGAAATGGTTATTATAATTCAACTCCTAAATTCTGGAATTTTATACATTAATAGTATATTATATATATACATATATATGTTATGCACCTACTAATATGTTATATTACATGTTAATATGTTAATTAATGGGGTTATAACTTATGCTTCTATAGGAATGAGTTTGTTATGTTATAATTTATAAAAATATGTTGTATTATAAGTTTTACCAATATGTTGGTCTTGTAGAAAAAGAATTTAAACACTCGATTTTAATAAAATTACTAATTACTAGTTGATGAACACCCTTGAGTCCAATACCAAGTATAGAATGATACACTCGTCCAGCCTAAGAAGAAATCACTAACCAATTAACTGTGCGGATTCTTCCTTTCTCAATTGATGTGGAACTAATAACTCTACTGATAAAGCTGACAGATTTGAATCGAGGAAAGCAAACAACTGTGAAGTTATTACACTTTTATCAGCCTCAACGCTCACGCTTAGGTTCGGTTCACAAGAGATTTGAGGGGGTCGCTGTTGTCAATTCACATGGTCGGTCGAGGACAAAGGATTGCGAAGTAACCTTAATTATGAAATCAATCTTCTCAGGCTTCCCTATACAATCAAACGTGCTGCAACCTAGAGAAAGTGAGTTAGAAGAACTTTTCGTTTGGTTTCCACATTTGAGTAGTTTTTAAATGGACTTGTCATCTGAGTCCTGAAGCAGCGTGAGCAGTGCTCTTTGCACTATAAATTTGGGTTTCTCCTGTCTTCACTCTTCAGCTCAGCAATAGAATTCCACACACAACCCCCCCCCCCCCCCCCCCAAAATCAAAAAAAAAAAAGACAAAAAGAAAAACCCATAGTATTGTCCAATTTTTGAATACCTTCTCAAGCAGTAGCTGATTCCTCTCCTACCTTTTCAAGAATGGCACAAGTTGCAGATCCTCTTGTGATTAGTGGAGTTGTTGGAGATGTTGTTGACAGCATCACTTCAACTACAAAGATGACTATAACCTACAATTCGAACAAGCAAGTGCATAATGGGCATGAGCTATATCCTTCCTCAGTTGCCAACAAACCAAAAGTTGAAGTTCCTGGAGGTGATATGAGATCTTTCTTCACACTGGTAAACACTTTCATCCTTCCGCATCCAATTTTCGCCATTTTCTAATCTTATCTTGTGCATTTCTTTTTTGTATCTATGACCACTTTATTGAGTGAGTTTGTTTTAATCCTACAGATCATGACTGACCCTGATGCTCCTGGTCCTAGTGATCCATACCTTAGAGAGCACTTGCACTGGTATGCATTTCTTTTAAGTATATATTATCTATCTCCTCTTTGTGTTTGTATCTCTGTTGTCTAAATTAGCTAGCATGACCCAAACGTCCTGCTGAATCACCGAGCATCATATGTGTGTGGAAATTGGCCGAGAATTCGCAATATGCATAACACCAAACATGCACGTTAGTAGTTGAAGAAACTAAGCTAGACTTGGTTTGTTAGTCTTAGTGAAATGTCTAAAATAGCTGACTTAAGTGAATGAAAAACTTTCGTAAAGAAAAATTTGTCCGTAGGGTTACAATACTGCTCTTAACTTGATTTGACCATGTGGCAGGATAGTTACAGACATCCCAGGGACGACAAATTCCTTATTTGGTATGTGTTATTTCTTTGTATCCTCACATTCAGGGAGGAATAAACCAGACATACATTGGGAATTTTTCTTTTGTTATTAAACTTTTTTTGGTTTTTTTTTTTTTTTTTAATATATCAACAGGAAGAGAAGTGGTGACTTATGAAGTGCCAAGCCCAAATATAGGGGTCCACAGGTTTGTATTCCTTTTGTACAAGCAGAAAGGAAGACAGACAGTGAAAGCACCACTTTTAAGAGATCAATTCAGCACAAGAAAATTTGCCGAAGAAAATGAACTTGGCGTTCCTGTTGCTGCTGTTTTCTTCAACTGCCGGAGGGAAACAGCACCAAGAAGGCGTTGAAGACAAGGACCAAAATGTTATGAAGCAAATAAAACTGTTGCAAATCTGAAAAGTACTAATGTAACAGTGGGATTAGATCCATTTTTATGTACTAGTTTGTCTACTCTAGAGACTTCAGGTTATGTAATATATATGCAACAAGATTAGTTAAATGGTGAGAAGTTGCTCAACCATTAATAATATTATTCTTAGCATGTTCCTTTGTTTTTTCAACCTTTCTTTTTTGCCCTTTTCTATTGAAATTTGCTTTGGTGCAAATTGGTGACAGCAAAAAAAATCGAATCAGAA